CTGCACCCAGCCTCATTCTGACCATCCCAGAAACACTTCCACAGTAGACTGGAGGAGCACAGAAACCCAGCATTTTTTTTAACTGTGAAACTTTGAGCAGTTTATAGAGCTTCTGTAAGGATTTTCTTATTCAGTTTCCAATTTGTGTTCATTTGATTATTTTGTTTTATTTTTTCTATGAGGAATAATGCCTTTCTCCTTTGCATATGTTCCTCTGCCCATCTGTGGCATCAACTTTTAATAAAACTACTTATAGATTATAATTCCTTTACATTTGATTCTGTTTTCTGTATTCTCTATGATTTTCCCCTAAACCACTGACCTTGAAAGGAACATTATAGAATACACTGTGCTGGCACAGGCATCCTTTTCTCCTATAGTTTATTCTTTTAAGCAAAGCAGAACTAGTTCATTTTAAAATTGAAATATCTTTAGTTTCTACTATAATCTAATAATACACCTCACTCAATTTTAAATAAATATTTCCAAAGCAATACTTTTTATCATGAAAATCTATCAACATTGGTAATTTTTTGGTCATCATAATTATTCAAGGTATTCTTTCAATTTCCATATTTTTTGTCACTTTGTAATATGTAGGTTTTATTGCCCTATATTTTCATTTTAAAAATCTAAGATCCAACCTAGTACTATAATTTAATAAAATTATAACCTTCCATTTAATTTAGGACCTTGTTCAAGGGAGGTCTTATCAGATCTTACCAGATTATTATCAGGTCTGCCACAGAACAGAAGAAAATAACAATAAATAACATTTTAAACTCAATATTATAATGGCTTTCAGAGGTTAGGAAAGAAATGGAAAAATGACCTAAAATTCTAGAGATGATCTTTGACTTCAGCCCTACTTGTAAATTTGTAAATCAGAGTCCGCACCAGAGATTCTGCTATGGTTCACGCAGAGGGACTCTACAGGGGAAAAGAACTCAGCTCAGGTTGGGCAGGAGCATGGAGCAGCTCTAAGAGACTGGATACAAGCTGGGTCCTTCACATTAGGCTGGATGTTTTGCGAATAGTAGTGTAAAGTGCTGTGTCTGGTCCTGTTCAGGGGCCCGAGAGGGGATCAGTCTGAAAGAGGAGAAAGCATGAAGGTTGGAGCAGAGAGAGAAAATGTCTTTATAACATTGAACTAACCCATATTTATGTATATGTGTAAGTGTGGCACCGAATTTAACATGAAGAAACACTATTTGTGTGGTGCAAAAAGTCAGCTTTTACTGTGTGGCTGAGAGTCTGAATAAATTTTACTGTGATGTGGTATGCCAGCGGTAGACCAGGCTTTACTCAGCATTCTCTTCCCTCGTGTGTGGTTGTTCTGCAGGCAACACCCTCCATTCTCTCAAATGCCTACCTGATGTTTCAGCTAATAAATCCTTGCTCCTGGAGTCCTGTAGATCTGCTCATGGTTTATTTCTTCTGTATTATGGAATCAGGACTTCCTATGAATCCACTTGAGGCATCTCATTTCCAGCATTCATTTCTGGCTCAGGTACATGGAACCATGAATTTCCAATTAAAAACCTCAGTGCCTAAACTCCAGGACTACATTGAATTATTCTGTAGACTCTTGATCTTAAGATTAACCACACAGTAGGCACTTATTCCACAGCTCAAGCTATCGTCAAGGTAATGCTAGCAGGAATAAGAACAGAATTCAAGCATGTGAGTGGATCCATCTATAAGTGGGGGCAAGAGATCTTTTGTTTTATGCAGAAATTAAAAGAAGAAGGAATGACCAAATTGTGACCTGTTAAAGTTCATGATAAAGACTTTTAATTTGAAGCTAAAATAAATTAGCATGTGTCATAATTATTCTATTTTTGTGCTAGTATAGAGAGGAGTGACAGTGAAGAAAAATCTGTGGCCTCAAGAAGTATAAAATTCTTGTTTTAAATCTCATAATAAAGACATTGGATTTAAAGCTAAAATAGATTAGCATGGGCCATAATTATGCTATTTTGTATTTGCCAATATACAGAGAACAAAATATATGATGCGATTATATTGAAGACACTGGACACTAGTAAAAAAGGATAGTGATTCTAGAGTTGGAAACCAGAAAAGGTGAGTTTTAAATTGATGTCTTTTATATGCTGACTAGGTTTTTCAGAGAATCGTTAGAGAAAAAGAAATCCAGGGGGAATATGGGGCTACCTTTCATTGAGAACAACATATTGCAAATAGAGAAGCCAAGGGAAAAGAAGATAGAACTGCATACAGAGTCTAAGGTGTCTCTGCAAGTTCTCTCTCAGGATTTGATAGAATACCATTAACTGCATGGGTATGAAGAAATACTTTAAACTGAATGAAAAAGCTGAAAGATTAGGGAAATTTTCTGTTCCTGTATCACTAGAAAATGCAGCTGCAAGAACCTAAGGGACCCCTTGCAGTTTTGATGATAGAATGATGGTCATACTGATCTTTTCTGACAGATCCACTGGGAAAATATATTCCAGCAAAAATCAGACTGGTGGAGATAGGATCTCCCATGGGGGGTGGGAGCAGAGTCAGCAGGAAGTGGAACCACATCTTCCTGTCAGCCAGGGTTCACCAGGGAGAGCAAGAAGAGACTCAGAAAAATAAGAAATCACATCTTCCTGTGAGCCAGGCTCTCCATGGGGAATGGGCAGAGACTCAGCAAGAACGTAAACCATGCCTTCCCATGAACCAAGGTCTGTCACAGGAAGATAGTCTGCATGAAGATAAACCATGCCTTCCTGAGAGCTTTCCAAAGTGTGAGCTGGAAAACGAGAACAGCTTCCCCTCACCCTATGAGCCAGTGGCTGATTGAGAGGAACTCAGGCTGTGATGACAGCAGCTGAGGTGAAAGGAAGGGCAGGATGCTTGTTTGACTGACTTTGCAGGTGTGGGGTGGTGGTCAGGGCATCTACTTGGAGGATGGCAGTGAGCATTGTGGCAACTGTGGGTGATTTCCTTCTGTCTTGTTTTAGAAATTCAGTGTTGTGTTCTGTTTTACTGTTTTATTTTATCCCTGTAACTGGTAGCCTGAGCAACTATTCTGAGGACAACAGTGCTCAGTATAACAACCATTGTTAAATTCCTATAATATTGTTTTGAAAACCTATGTAGCTATGGTTTGTTGTGGTCATTTTGTGGTTTTTTTTTTGTTGTTGTTGTTGTTTTTTGTGTTTATTTGTTTCTTGATTTTTCTGGGTTTTTGTTTTTTTTCTGTTTAAAACCAAATTTTAAAAATTTAAACAATAAAGAATGAAATAAAAATAGATGATGAGGAGGTAGGTTGGTAGATCTTTCTAAAAGTGGAAAGGGATTAAAAGATGGAGAGGAGGGAGGCAAAGAGAAAATGATGATACGAGAAACTAAGATGCTTTATGTACTGTACCAACCGCACACAGGAAACGTAAATGTTATATAATGCAAACATATAAAGAAATGAATTAAGAAATGGGTGGAAGAGAAAGGAAAGGGAAAGAAGATGAAAAAAGGACAGAGATAAGGATTGGGGGTCACCTGAGAGGGGGTCCAGGTCACTGAGAGTACTAGGAACCCATGCGTGTGCTGCTGATAAACTTCACAGTTCCACAGTTTATAGCTTCCGGACCTTCTTTGGCTTCCAGGGTAGAATCAGAGAATCTTGTTTCTTATATCTGCATTTTTAAAATTTCCATACCACTAGGTCTTTCATATTAAAAACTATAGATTGCTTCCATTTTTTGGTGATAAATTATATTGAATAATTTGTATATACTTATTTACCACTTGTATTTTTTCTTAGCAAACTATCTATTCACATGTGACTCAAAATTTAGTTGAATTACCTGACTTTCTGTTGTTAAGTTTTTGAGTTGTTTGTAGACTCTGGGAATTAAACTCTGTTGAATAAATTGAAAGATTTTTCTTTTGTTGTGAAGACACTTTTCAGGTTAGTGTAATCCCATTTAAGTTTTGCCTTTATTTCCTGAGCTATTAGAGTTTTGTTTAGAAAAAAAATATTGCTTGTATCAGAATTTGGAAGCTTTATCTTGCTTTACTCTGGTAGTTTCAGAGTCTGTCCTTTGCTTAAAGGCTTTGATCCATTTTGAACCAGTTTTCATACAGGGAAAGAGAAGCGGTGGGCCTCAATCTCTAGCATGCGGGATCTAGTTTGCTGAGTACCATAGAGTCATCTCACCACAGTTAGAAGGACTAATGTTAAACAGTAAACACTGACAGAGATCTGAAACAAAAGGAACACCCATGCATTGTTTGTGGGAATACAAATTAGTACAGCTACCATAGAAAACATAGAAACACAGAAATTCTTGCGAAAATTTGATAGAATTATCCCTTGATGTAGCTGTCCAACTCCCAGGTCTGTACCAAGAGGAAGTGAAATCAGCATACAGAAGAGACAAGTGAAGAGCTACATTCATTGTGACAATATTTGTAACAACTAATGTGTGGAATCTCTGAAGGTGGCCATCAACAGCATATGAATGAAAACTCATGGCACATGTATGTAAGTGTGTTACTCAGCCAGAAACAAGTAAACTGCCATTTGCAGACAAACAGATGGAACTAGAGGACGTCTTAGTAAGTAATCAATATACAAAAATAACAAGATTTATATGTGCTTTTATGTATATACTAAGTGGACGAGAAAATAGAAGAGTGATTACTAAGGATGGAAGTGAAGAGGTCCACAGCAGAAGGGTGGATGAATATTATTAATACACGCTGTGTTTGCTCCTAGAACAACATGGCAAATTCCATTACTGTTGGAAAATAATACATGTTAATAACATGGATTTAAATAAATTTGTAGAAATTACAGTATAAAATCTGCTGTCCACGTTTAAAACAATTCCCATGTGGAATATCCACTGTGTGGTCTCTTCTGTATGAGTCCCAAGAGATGTGACAACATGGATGCCTCAGTGGGACCTTCCTGCTTCTGAGAAATGCTCTCAGCAGGCAGAGATGCCTGGAGGAGCAGCTGGGCAGCCCAACATCACACTTCTGCTTCCCTGGGAGGTTTATGTAATGATTTGTATCACTGTGGGTGGGTAACTGTGACGCTGTTGACAGTAATAAATTGCAGAATCCTCACATTCCAAGCTGCTTATGGTGAGAGTAAAATCTGTCCCAAATCCACTGCCACTGAACCTTGCTGGGACCCCAGCGTACAAATTGTATGAATCATAGATCAGGAGCTCAGGGGCGTTCCCTGGTTTCTGCTGATACCAGCCTAAATAGCTGCTGATGCCTTGACTGGCCCGACAAGTAATGGTGATTTTGTCTCCTGGAGATGCATACAGGATGGATGGAGACTGGGTCAACTGGATGTCGCATGTGCCACCTGAAATTGGAAGCATACAAGTGAAAACTCATACAAGTATTTACTCTTGTCACTAGAGGAGTTCCTTCATTGGCCAGGAACTTCATTGCCATTGGACTGAGCAAATCCCTAGCACTGCCAATCCTTACCTGGCAGCCAGAGCAGCAGGAGCCCCAGTAGCTGAGCAGGGACCCTCATGTCCATGTTGTGTGCTGACTGGGACTGAGTCCTGCACAGGGTGTGAGTGGCCTATGAAGGAGTCCCCAGGGCATGGCTGTGCTCTGGGGAATATGTAAATCAGCAGGGGTTGGGTATAACTGGCACAGCTGCAGGGCTCAGTCATTTCAGTGACACAGCACAAGCTCAGGGTCTGGAGAAGTCCCAGTGTGACCAAAATGTTACAGATTTGCCTTCAGACAATGTGTTTCCCCTAGAGAGCACTGGATGTACTCAGACTGCTGCCCATTGTTACATTGCCACCATTATGGCTCATTGTGTCTTATCTTGTTGTCCTTTTACCTGTGACAGAGTCTGTCAGAAAACACCCAGCAAACTCACAGATACTCTTCATGCTTCCTACATTTTGTTGCTACGATAGTCATTTAAGCAGAAAAGGGTTCGTTGCTGTTTTGATTATGTTAGTTTTTAGCTTTATGTCCAGTGCAATCAGATAGAAGATGAAGAAATTATGAGTCACGGTTTGTTGGAAAACAATGGAGCATGCAGCACTTGGCTATCCCACCTTGTCCTCTCCATGCGAATGTTCCTCTGTTTTATCTCTGAATTGCCTGTGACCACATTCATCAAAACCAGCCTCATGAGGGATTTTATCCCTTACATATGAACAGTCTGTACCACCATTCTAACTCAGCATATACTAATGCATTCCCACATTAGAAGCTCCCCACACTCCTCAAATTTTTGGTTGTGGATTGCAAATATTTTAACCCATGGTAGTCTGTCCAGAAACTAAGATCTTTGAAATCCTGTTTATGCACCCTTGAAATGACTCTACTATGTTTTCTACAACATGTATGTTCCTTTATAAGCCAACTGTTTCTAAGGGTTGGGCCCTAGTAGTCTGAGCAGGGATTTCATAAAGGAGGTAATGAAGAGATTTCTGCACAGGTTGTTGGAGCCTGCATAGTCTGGACATGGTGCTTATGTGGGTGAAAGTGGAGGACAGACTGGAAGAAAAACTCTAAGAGAGGGTTGAGCTGGTTGTCCACACAAAGGAGAAGTGACGTTGTTGGCCAACACGGGAGTCTGATAATTAGTGAACTGACATTTGTAAGATGAGCATTACTGACACTTGTGGGATTCCCCACTGCAGTTTCCAGGACCCCGGAAAGTTAAGGAAGCCACCTTTCCATGGGAGGTAAAGGTGGCCACGGTCTGGTCAGGGTTATCAGAGCCTGAGGAGTGTATTCAGGTATGTGTGGGAGGAACTATTTGCTCTGAGAGTGTAGGTGGTAGTAAAAAAAAACAAGATTCACCTCTTCCAGAAGCTTGCTGGTCATAAACAAAAAAAAAATTCTGAAGGATAATGCAGGCCAGTATTCTCACTACTGTGTGAAGGAGTTGAGATTTAATGAAAGGAAATGTATGAGGAGATTTATTCAGAATAAATTGGTGTGCCAGAGAAGTGGAGATATCAGTGCATATTAATACATACATGTGAATATATATTGGTAAATAGACGATAAATAATTATCCCTTGACTAGAAATACTAACACCCTTGTTTTAGGAAGTACCCAAAGAATCCACATCTTGTACCAAAATGCCACTCTTCCCTGAAAGAGATCAGTGAAGCTTGGAGAAATGGCTAATTCTCTATCAAGGATAGGGACATTGCAAGATGCGTGTGGCCTCTCTTGTGCCACCAATAAAGCTGTCTTCAAAAACTGACCATGTCATGGCAACAGTGAAAATAAACAAGCTGGCATAGGATTTTTATTGCTTAACGTGGATGGATTTTGAGGATAAATTGATTGATAAAAATTTTAACCTTACAATCCCTTGAAGAAAGCATGGATTCTTGGTGTTACAGTTATGTTTTAAAGGAGAATAGCATGACACTAAGTTAACCAACAGTTTCTCAGCAGGTAATTTTACTCATTTCAAAGGTAAACAGTCATTGTGTCTTGGAAATGTCTAACAGTCAGAACAGAGGCACCCAGTTAATCAGTAACAAGTTCCTGAACAATCTAGCACTGCTGTTTCCTTTAGAAGCATTGCTAAAGAACTGTCCTTCAATGAAAACTCACTGCAATTGCTGACTTACTTATGTTGAAAGGGTCATACATGAATTTAGTTATCAACGTGCCCTTAAAAGGAAGGCGATTTTGTTGGAAGCATTGATGTGCCTGGGTTTCAAGGCTAGCTTCAGTTCATTCATCACACCTTGTGGAACAACTGGATACAATGAGGTGGAGGGTGGTTTTCAGCAGTCCAGCAATTGTGGGGCCTTCCCATGACTCAGCTGCCACAGTTTCAACCCCTGAAAAATGACTGAGTGTGTAAGCCATGTGAGCTGCTGGGCTTCTCAGTGTCTGCTCTAGCATAGGGAGGATGGGCCTGGTTCCACAGGACTGGAGAAGGAGCCCTCAGCCTCAAAAATATTCCTAGCACTGCACATTGCTGGTCGGGCAGTCTGGGTCCTTTAGTTTTCTCAAAACTACATCTTTGTCTTTTCACGTGGTCACATACTAGACCTTAACTTCTTTCTGACCATTATCTTTTCAGAATTTCTTGAGAACTATGCATCATTTATCCTTAATAGATGCATGATTTATTAAGAAGAGAATAACTTAAATGTTTACATAATCATGTCTGGTAATGGCCAGAATAAGATCAGATTCCTAAATACTGGTGTTAAGATATAGCGAAGGCCTAGGGTAACAAAAGGAATAGGATGTATCTTAAAGATCTTCCACTTGTGGCAAGTGACCCTGCAATAAACAAAGCACTGATATCTCTTCCTAGAAAAACTAGGGGGTAGAAGTAATGCTTTCCCAATAGGGAGCTACTATCAGGGAGCTCTCTCCCCAGCCCCATAAGCCCACATAGCTGGGGGCTCTAGGCACAATGAGTCAGGTCTCTCCTATCTTTCATTAACTCATTATCTTCTATTTACCTTTGTGCATGGGAATACACCTGAATAAGAAGAATGCCCCTTCCAGGAGGATTGTTAGAGGTGAACTGTGGGTAGGTAGTGATGCAGGGGGTGAGAGAACAAGGTGCCAGGCTCTGAAGGTGGGCAGCCCTGAGTGAACTAGGGATGAAGTAACCTTGTGAATTCAGAGATGCAGCAGACAGAACTTATAGAATCAATCCCTACTCAGAGCTTCAAAGTGTGTAATGCAGCAAAAATAGAACAACAGTTCTCTCTACTCATTTTTTAACAATCTGATTCTGATCTGCAGATTTAACTCAGTGGTCTATGTGCCTGCCTAGCAAGCGCATGGTAGTGGGTTCTATCCCTGGTTCAAAAAAAAAAAAAATCTGAATCTGATCTTGCTAAGGGAGAATGACATTCTCTGTGGGAATTTGTGTTACACAGCCCTAGAAAGGGACCCAAAAGTACCACAGTCCACTTCTGAAAAAAGCTAACTCTGCACCTGTGCACAAACCTGCACTGCCCTGCTGATCTTCACCATACAGGGCACAGCCAGCTGCTTAAGAAGCAGTAACACCCTGTGAAGGAGTCAGGTCCAGTCAGGACACAGCACGGACATGAGGAACCCTGCTCAGCTCCTGGGGCTCCTGCTGCTCCAGCACCAAGGTGAGGAAAGAATGAACTTGCAATTTACTCTACTTAGAGTCATCTGGATCTTCAAGCAGGTCCTGCTGTACCATGGTTGTGCACATATTGGTTATGTTTCTAACTTCAGGTGCCATGTGTGACATCCAGATGACTCAGTCTTCATCCTCCTTGTCTGCATCTGTAGGAAAAAACATCACTATTACTTGCAAAACAAGTGAGGATGTTGATACTGGTTTAAACTCGTACAAACAGAAAATAGTGAAAGCTCCTAAACTGATGATTTATGCTGCAAACAGTTTGGAATCTGGGATCCCATCAAGGTTCAGTGGCAGTGGATCTGGGACAGCTTTTACTCATACCATCAGCAGCCCACAGCCTGAAGATGCTGCAACTTTTCACTGTCTACAATATTATGATTCCCTTCCAAACAAAGATACAGCTCACAACAAAAACCAACCAGGAAAGCAGAAGCTCCGACTGGGCTGCCCCAGCTGCCATTTCTGCTGTGTTCCACTGCTGAGAACATTTTTTTTTTTGACCCAGCCAGGCATGGAAGTTCTCTTAGAGGCTTCAGAGAAGGGCTTATGATTCTCCTCCACACCCTAACACTCTTTTCTATTGCTCAGTTCCAGCAGCACAGATGTCATGGTGCCTGTCCTGATTTAATGAATGACACAGATGTGTCCCTCTGAGCAGTGTGGGTTATGGTATCAGTTTGGATTCAGACAACAGCAGAGAAGCCCTTCTATGCTTTGTAATCAAGACTTTTTTAATTCTTGCATCTATTTTTGAGTAGATGTAATGTCATTGAAAAATTTAAAATACATATGATGCCCTTATAACCCCAATGACATGGCTATGCTGTCTATCATCAATTGAATTAAAGTATTTTGAAAACAGTTAAGATTATATATATATATATATATATATATATATATATATATACACAAAATCCATAGTTCACATGAAGATTCCCTCTTGGTGTTATACATTTCACCAGGATAAACCAATGTGGAACAATACATATGCAGCATTTTGATATGACACAACATTGTTGACTGACCTAGAAATCCTCTATACTAAGAATTCTCCCTGTTCATTATCTTTCACCAGTTTGCAGTAGGTGATTTATGGTTATCATTGCCAAAGTTTTTCCTTTGTCGGAATGACAAAATCTTGCTTTTACAGTGTAGAGATATTTTAAAAGGTGATCTCAGAATAGGCTGTGTTGAGGAAGAGAGTAATTAAAAAAAAAGCATCGAATAACATATTTTAATTATAATATATCTTTTTTAACCTTCTATGGATAGCTAGAATATCTTGACTTAGTAACAATTTTAGAAGAGAAGCTGTCACGTACTGATTCTGTGTCACAAATCACGAGAAACATACAATTGTGCTTGGCGTAAGAGTCTACTACCACTTTTAAAACACGAGGAGAATGTTTTGCAATCTTTTGCCCCTACCTTTAACAGATTCACAGGTGGAAGATTAGAACTCTTATTATTATTCTTTTGTGTCCCACAGTGTCATTCACTATTTCACTGAACCTAGCATGGGTTTTTTTCTCTGTTGCTCAGGATAGTGCCTAGAAGGCTGCCTTTGATCTTAAGCACTGTAAAGGAAAAGAGCTTGTTTCATTTCATGCTGAAACATATCTCCTGTCATTATTTTCACATAATCCTAGGTGATTTTCATGAATGTGCAACTTGAACACATCTCATAAACACAGTGACTTAGCTCAGCGTGAACATCAGGGTCAAATCTTTGGGAAAACAATGGAGGTTGCATGGTTGAGGTAGGGTCCCCAGTAGGCTGTTTTCTTTTCTAACAAAATGGCTGCAGTGGAGTTCATGTCATGACTGTAGAGACCCAATCTGTAAGGTTGCAATATTGTTTTTCGGAAATATCTCACATTGAGGCACAAGCTGTGTGTGCTCTGTATATCCCATTCCTTCCTTCTTCCTCCCAGCGATACGATGTTCTTATTTATCTCACACAGAGCAGTAATTTTTAATTTCTTGGTATTAAAATTAGTATTTTCAATGGTTGCTACAATGAAAATAAGTTCTAAAGCATGTTAAGAAACAGCAAGAAATTGATAACTAACAAGCATTAATAAATAACTTGAGGAACTGTCTCTTTCTGCTTAGAGTCAAAAGTTAACTAAAGGAAATCTTAAAAACATAAAAAAGTACTGAGAGCTAAAATGATCAACTCTTGATGAAAATGATGAACTCAGAACCTCTTAGAACAACAGTGTGTCACAGATGTAGAAATTTGCTATCCTACCTCACAGCTGCCCTCCCAGCCCTCTGAGTAAGGTCCCTGAACAGCAGTTCACACAGCATCTTGTGTCAGCCTAGTCAAACTAGCTTCAACATAAGAGCCACAAGTGGAGGACAGAACATTCATGTAAATGAAATTAAGTATGGTAGAGCCTGAAATTGTTAAAAAGCAATGAATTCAAGCTCTGAATGCAATGTCTGGAGATATGAAACTTCATCCATGTTGGCCAGGAAGGGTCTCTGTGATCACTCAGCAGGGGCTCTGAATCCTATGGCCACATGACTGAAGTCACCCTGCAAGGACCGAGGGTACCATCATGGAACCTATATACACCAAGAGAATTTACTGAATTAATCAAGTGTTTACTGAAAAATGTTTTTTGCCTCGTAGGCAATACAAAATGAATCAGTAAGTAAGAATCAGATACTTGGGAGATTCTTACTCCCTTAAGGGTGGAAACTATGAGAATATATTCAGCAGGCATGTGGTCCTGGTCATGGTATGCCAGAGAATTTGCCCTCTGTTCAGAACTGGAGACCCTGCTGTGTACCCTACAAGGCTTCTCTGCATGATCCTTAAAAGCCCTGCCTGTCACAAGCTCTTAGTGGAATTTGCTCACTGTCTCAGAACAACGATCACCTGAAGCTGGTTTAGCAAGAGCCCAGTACACCTAACAGCCCCACAGTAAAGAAAACTCTGAGGCCTGAACCTAACACTAGTACATTAGTAGTGATGCTTTGTCATCACTTTAGGGAGCCACTAAGGCAGGGATGTGTTTGCCTAGTTCTCTAAGCTCACATGGCTGGAGTTCTCTGGGCACTGTGAGCCAGGTTTTTCCCTGTCTTCCTGTTCTTCAGTATTTCCTGTTTCACTTTGTGACAGGTAAGGCACTTGACTATGATGAGCTTTTGAGCAGGCCTGTGGGTCAGCAGTGAGGCAGGATGGTCGACAGAGAATGTGCTATAACTCTGAATGTGGCCCCCTTTGAGTGAAACAGGAGTGAAGTAGACTCATGTATTCAGAGGCAGAGATGTCAGATCCACAGAAGGGAATTCCTTTCAGAGATGCAGAGGAGCAGCCCAGGAAATTAGAATTTATTTTGATATTCACTATTCACATTTCCTATGTCACTCATATTGCTATAGACACAGCTGTAACTTTCCGAACCTGCATCCCATAAGCCAACTGGCCTCAGATATTTCCTTAGCTCTGTAGCTTTTGCCTTATTTCCCCCTGTACTGAATTAATATTTATTTCAGGATGTGCCCTTTAAAAATAAATTTAAGGACCCAATCCTTTTCTAAAACAGTGCTATGATTGTTATAACTCCATTCTTTCTTTGAATATAACTGAGGATTGTGTGGGGTGAGGATTATCTGATGGCCTTTATTCAAATCCATAATTGGGCAGTTGACTGACTGTGACCAAGAGAAACTGAGTAGGGAAGGAGGAAGTAGAAAGGGAGGAAAATAATATTATTCAAATTGTGAGCATTTTTGGATTGAGGAAGCAGGAGATTACTTTTTTCATCTTAGCAGTGTTAACTGCTGCATAAAATGTAAATTCATGAGGATTTTCCTGAGCTGTAACTCAGTGAAACAATATATTCATGATTATTACTTTAGGAATTAATCACAGAATAAATAATAAATATGAAAATGTCACACATTTTATTTACTTTGTTGACAGTCTTTTAAGAGAACTATATGTTACCTCAGGCATCAAGTTGTAACTGGAAGGAACAAAACACCTCAGACATAAATATTTAAGAAAAATCCAAAAGAATGCATATCACTATAGATAGTTGAGCAATTACAGGTTAAATTAAAACAAAATCATAAGTAAACCAAATGATGCACGTGCAAATTACTAATTATCCCAGTATTAGCAAATGAAAAACCCAAGATATAAAGACTCTAATAAGTAAAGGCTAATCCTGAGTAATATTTAGTTTTTTTTTTTTTCTATCTTGAACTTGAACTTCAATGTCTGGAGCAAAGTGTTTGCTACTCTGAGAGGGTCGCTCCCCTGCGAACTTCACGCGTTATCACCTCCTCTTGCTCCTGTGTGGGCACCATCAGTCCTCTCTGTACTTCCTGGAATGATTGATCATTAAGATTCTGTTAACACTGCCATCTCACAGTCAGCATTTTAGCAGCAGGTGAGCTGCTGCCCAAGAGAGGACAGCTGTGTCCTATAGCAGCAATGTTGATATTCATTGTTGTCTGTAAAATGGCAATTCAGTCATTGGCCAAGAGATTTGAAAGCTTTCAGACATGAATCTGCTGACCAGGATGCCCTTTGGGCAGTGGTAAGGAACCTACCTATCTTTGTATCATTTGTTTTAAATTTTTTTAAGTCATAACATATAGAAGTTTTTGTTTTCCATACAGAAACCTCAGTATTCAGGTTAAATGCAGTGCTGGTGCTTTTGATGAGTAAGTGTGTAGGTGGCTGCAGTTTGGGTTTGCAGTGCGTGCACTTGTCTCTAATAAGTTTGCCATCACTGTTTTGGGCAAGGAGATGTTGGTGGTAGCAGGGATGAGCCTGCATTTGAAGGCCACCTCCGATCCCTTCCTCACACCCTGTGGAGAGACTGGGAGAGAGTGGTGAAGGGTCACGTTTAGGTGCCCAGCACTTGTGTGGCCTTCCCATGTCTCAGCTGCCACAGTTTCAACCACTGAACAACTGTTCGGTGTGTAAAGCTGTGTGAGCTTCTGGGGCTCTCAGGGCCTCAGTTCACATGACTGGAAAAGGAGCCCTCATCCTCAAAACACTTGCTGGCACTGCATATTTCTGGACAGTCTGTGTCCATTACCCTTCCCAAACCTACATCTTTGTCATTTCATGTGGACACATAGTAGACCTTAACTGACCTGTGACCAATATCT